ATTTTTGGAACTGTTTCTGCGGAAAGACCAAACACTTGTGATAATTTAAACGAGAGTGCTTCCATAAAATCATCTAGATTCTGGTGTCGTTTCAGTAGATACATCAGTGGGATTAAACATTCTTCGATGAATAATAGAAAATGTTTTTTAGTACGAAAATCTCGGACGATCGTCGATAGAATATCATCTCGTTTTTTATTGATATACATCAGTTCTCCAGCTTGAACTAAATTGGATACACGCATCTTTTCACTTTCATCAACAGACGGGAAAATTAAGCTTATTTCTTCAAGCGGTTTTTCTTCTTCTAAACCTAGAAATAGAAATAGGGAAGTATTTTTAAACGTGACAAATTCTAGTCGTTTTGAAGGCGTCAAAAGAATTTACCCGGTTCAGATAGAAATAAATCGAACCGTTCAGTTTTTTTTTCAACTACAGATCTGGACGATAAATTCATTATTTGCTTTGTGAGAAAAGTAAAAAGCTCTCGCAAACTCGAAGCTTCTGTCTTTATCGTTGAAAATCCATTACCTTCATTTAGTATCTGTTGTACTGGTGGAGGAGGAGGCGATTGAGTTTGTGGTAGGAAGATTTCCGATGGATTTAACTGAGGAGCTGGTGTTGGTGCAGGAATCACTGATGGTGGATTGACAATTTCGGCAGAAGGAAGCACCGGTGGTCCATCAGCGTTTTCAGAAAGAACAATTTCAGCGGGGTTTGCAACTTCGGGTAGTGATAAATGGTTATCGTTCATATAGCTTTTTAATTTCTCCAACATAGGAGCAAACTTCTTTGGTGGAATCAAGTTCTTGACTTTTTGATCATTTAGTCCCTTCCACCAGCCATCCTGAACAACACAGTTCAATGCAATCTCAAAAAGATTGAACTTATCTGTGATTTTGCATTCTTTTTTTAACAGATCGTTTAAAGGTTGTCGATAATGCTGACGAAGAGCCATAGCTAGTGAACTTGAATCATCTGTCAATTGCTGTTGAATTACAGCCGGTGACAGGTCGTTTGTATAGTGCTTTAAACCTTGACAACCGCATGATAACAAAGTTTTCCAAATATTGTCTAATTCTGTTTCATTTTTCATTACATCATCATCAAGTTCAAATAGAAATTGTACAACCAGTGAAAATATTGGATCATCTTTCAAATATTTTGAACCGTATTCAGCTGCACGTATAAGAATCTGTTCGTATATCTCTGGTAATTCTACCTTCTGCTGTCTTAAGACTATCTGAAACCAGTCATCTCTAATCGACTGCCACTGCTGTTCATAATAGCGTTTCAATAATTGTAATAACTCACTATCTTTATTATTCATTTGCTCATTGTACACAGCCGGTGCAATTTCATCTTTAATAGAAATTAATCCTTGGCGACCGTTGATTTGTAGTTGTTTGATATTGATCTGTGATTCAACAGAATCGTCAAGGCCAAGAATTTCGGATATTTGAAAACTGAAACTATCTTCCGATGTTGTGTTAGGGAACTCGTTACCATTATTAACAAGTGAACTGTCTAATGATGATAGCGATAGGCTGGAAGAGTGGAGACTGTTTGACGCCATTAACCTTACCAGAACTTCTGCGCTACACCTTAACAGATACAAGCAACAATAATGAAGCTAGACAATTTGCCCAACGACATGCCGAGCTCAATTAGCGTTCTTTGATCTTGTGGTATTGTAAGAAAAAGACTCTATCAGTCTTACCTACCAACGCACCGCTGTTCATATATTTTATAATTATGCAAAACACTTACTTGGTCTGAAAGTTAAAATGGTGGAATTTCATTTGAGAACATACCGGCACTTCGAACATTCCAACTACTAGTCTTGCATAAATCATAAAGTGGTTTCAGTCTGTGCTTGACTCAAAAAAGCGCTATCTCATCACAATGTGCTTTCTAAACTAGTGTGCATATCCAGGCAGACATTTTTTTAGACCAAAAGCACTGCCAAACGCGTTCTTGGCACTAAAGACGCGTTAATCGGTGATAAATGCGTTTGGCTGCGTCGAGATGCTGTGAAAATAAACGCGTTTGGCGCTTTCAAATGACTGACACATTCGAACGCATTCAAATTAAACGCATTTGCACACATTAATGTCTCTCAGACGCATTTGAAGGCGTCAGGAACAAACGCGTTAGGTGCGTTTACTAACTAACGCGTTTCGTATCGTAATCCGACACTTTTAACGCAGCTGAACGCATTTGGAAACATTTCGTAGAAGCTGCTGCTAAACGCGGTTCGCTGGATAATTCCTGCAAATTTCTTCGCAGTATAGCGAAAAGAAAGTAGATAACTCGATGGAAAACGGAGCAGGACCATAAGGCTGATCAAAAGGATCAGAGGAAAAGTAACTTAGTGAAATTTACGTAGTACAAGATCTCAAGTACGTTCTGCTTTTGCATACTTCAGTTTTCCATTGTTGAAATAGTGTAAATGTGAAATCTTTCTCTTAGCAAAGTTTCAGGTCATTCAGTATGTGAGCAGTTTACATAAAGATAGAGATGCACAAGACCTCGAAATTCGACTGTTTCGAACTTTCGCAGACTTCTTCAATTTTGGAACTGAACCTATAAGTAAAAGAGCAACGAAACTCAGTAATATCTTTCATTTTGGTCGAAGTAAAATAGCCTTAAAATCACTTTTGATTTTCCGAATTAGTGACTGGGAGGCTTGAATGAAAGTAATTACTGAGTTTCGTTGCTCTTTTACCTATAGGTTACTTTCATTCGAGCCTCCCAGTCACTAATTCGGAAAATCCAAAGGAATTTTAAGGCTATTTTAC